AAAAAARMMAAAMAWYCMMCMAAAMCMAMTWAAMMAAAAAAACAAATGAAACCCCAACAAAACAAACCGAAAAAGCTTCAAAATGCAGCTCAAACCATTTGCAGAATGGAATAATGTTTATTTAGCATTAATATTTCAGTGGCAGAAATTGCAATGTTAATATTCTGCTCTCAAAAATTCCAAAAGGCCATTATTTGTAACTACCCAGTTGTGAGAAGAATAATTGAACAGATACAAACCATATCTTTTAAAACAATCAATTAACACATAACTGCAGGCATCCCCAAATAATCAAGGAACCCCAAAACCCCAGCCTGACATTGCAAGCATCACACAGTAAAACTGACAAATGAACTTTTTTATTAACTTTATTTAAGGCAAACTGCTGCTTTATATCTCTGCAGCCTTGGTTTTGCCTTTCTTGGCTAAAACACGGCAGTGCCATTTATGAGCTGCAGCCCTTTAGRTATACTATGGGGCCCTCATATGGCAAACAGCTGCTCATTTTTCTAACTGGAGCTTGAGATCTATAAAGACATTAAGTGCTGATAGATTATTGCATCTGACTCTTAACCACTCCATCAGATATACTGCATTTGTTCAAGTTTAACAGCTATAAGGAAGACACTTAATGTAAAATCGTACCAAAYGCCTGAGGGCAAAGCAGAGTCCTGTGCTCTCAGAAGAGAGTCCATTTGCTGACACGCTTTTCATTTACTGTGACACTTGCATTTAAAACCCTAATAAAATTTAGTACTGAAGATAAAAGAGAGCTAATAAAGCATTAAAATGTATTCTAATTTGTTGGCACATTAGTATATATATTGATATTTGTAATTAACTTCAGGCAAAGTTAGCAGTGCCTATTTTCTGCTTTTGCTGTGGTTCTCTGAGGCAAGTGGCCATCTCTGAATTACTCTCTCCTTGCTTTCTTAGTTCCAGACAACATGTGCACCAGCAATGGCCTGTATTCCCAAGTGTGACCGCACTTCCTAAGAGGGTTTTCTGTGAGGAAATTAATAGGAAATGAAGCATCAGTCACCTGAACCAATGGTGGAAAACTCTGAAACAGAACAAAGGGCAAACCTCTCTATCGCACTTTATCACTTAAATTAATTCTGTTCTTCRCCCCTTATTATGCAAGAGCATATTTTAGTTTACTGAGAGAAAAGCGCTGATACAATCAAATACTATGGTATCAATACTGCAAATTTTAGTGGGTTACTCTTTCTGCTACCAAGTTATAAATTTCCTTGTAAGGTTGGTTTAGAATGCACGCTGAAACAGAAAACTACACCTCAGTATTGCAGTCCCTACCTTTTGAGAAGTACTCATGGTGTGTGGCTCAGTTATTTTATGTTTTGAARCTGACCACTATCAAGGTACACTCTCCACTCACATTGTATATTACAGACATGCGCATTAGTATTCCAGTAGTGTCTCCATGGAAGAAGTAGGTGAAAGAATGATCTCTGGAAAAGCTATGATATTAGTGCTAGAGAGGTCAAGTGCAGAAGCGGTAATGCAGAAAATATTTCAAGATCCTGGATGACCAAGATTCATGTATCATACACTGGATGATCATAAATCTGTGAGTTTACTGCTCCAGGAAGTCCATGTCTGAGAGAGAAGGCAAACAGGGATCTTASTTCATTTTTCACTCATTCTGACAAATGGGAGTTGGTGTTACTTCTGATTTTTTAACCTTTTATTTTTCATTTCATATATTTCACTGGAATATTCTTTCATTTATAATATTACAGGAATACCACAAAGTAAATTACATTTTCTGCAGTTTAATTAATCTTATGCTGAAATGACATTGTATTTTAGGAATGTAAGTATATACATTTAGGAGASTGGACAATGACAATTGAGCCTTTCATTTTTAGGGTATCTCTTTACAACAAACTCTAGTCAGTATAGAGTGAAACTTCTCATTTGTCAACTGCTGATTGATAGTTTCAGGTGAGAAACAGAARTATATGGGAAAAGATTATTACTGTTGTTTTTGGCCTTAAGTACCACCCTAACTATTTTTTTTCCTCCCTATAACCAATGATAAAGACAGAAAGATGAATGGAAGAAATTMAGTTGTTCATACCCTTAAGTGAATGGTTACAAGTCTCTGTGAGTATAAATGAAGACAYACTAAATAATCAGCAGTTTAAAAAAGATTTTTATAAGAGATTAAGAGGCCTATAAACACCACTTTACCACTGGGGCAAAGAAAAAAGAAAGAAGTTATCAAACTCCTAAATTTGTGCAATCCCAGATAATTCTAGACAAYGAACTATATGCATTTTACTATGGGCGTATATTTACTATTTTTAGTARTAAATAAAAATTTACTATTTTTACTATTTTACTATGTTATTTTATAAAAAAATAAAAATGCTAAGGTCCTTGACAGAACGCCTATCTTCTTGTCTCCAAATCTATGTGAATGGGCAAGATGCAAAAGCTGGAAGAATCCTCTGAACAAGCATCTGATTATGTTAGAAAAAGTTATTTGACCAAGRGGTCAGATGCAGAATTAAGTCTGTCTGCAGAGAAGAAAGTGGCAGTGAAGAAACCATCAGAAGTGATTTCCCTGGTAGAAGGTAGAATAAGCAGGGTCACTAGCAAGTAAATTGATCAAATGTATGTCTCTTGTAACTAGTGCTGGCGGTGATGGTGAGAGGCTTTTTCCTGGCAGAAATTAGGATACTAACCCCACTTTTGATTCTACACCAGGCATGAATATCCTTTTCTTTCAGCTGCTATCCTGGCTGGTAGAAGAAGATAAAGTTTATGATATGCTGTCAAATATTCACCAATTCTACCCTAAAAGCTGAACAGATAATGCTTAATGAAATGTAGATTTTGGAATTTTTTTATGATCACTGGTATTATTACATTAATGATTCATACCAATTAAAGCAGCACARTATTTTAATTTCTTTTCAATATCCATTGCAGTAGAAATAACCAAAATATGTAGGTGYATCAACTTAAAAGATTACTGGGATYCTTTCTGTAAGATTTGAAGAATCCAGTTTTCCTTTGATTTTGAAGATAKTAATTTGGAGATACTATCTATAACATGACTGTTTACATGAGCTGTATTCACACTTTGGGGTTTTGGAGGGCTTGAATTTAATTCATAATATGTACATATATTATGAATRCATATGTGYAKRTACAGATAGAYRTATATATACACTTATATTTGTCAGATGTTGACTTTTTTTGCATTTGTTGTATTAAATTTTCGGATACATGACAGATCCTACTACAGGTCTGTCTGATCATGTGAAAGTGGAAAAGAAKAAGTGCATGGATTAAGTTGTTTCTTTTGACAGGACAATTGCAATTCATGTGTTTGGGAAATCAGAAGGCAGTCCTTCACTGCACACAATCCAATCCAAGCAAGCAGAAGCTGGCTGGTTGGAAAGAGGCTTGGCAGTGTAAATAGTTAGGCAACATGCAGAGAGTGAGGGTTCCCCTCACATCTTCTTTGCAAAGGGCTGTAGWACCCTACCTATTTTGACTGAGAATGTTATATTTTTAAGCAAGTACAAATTTCAAGGTTGAAYCATGGATGGAAAAGACAAATGTCASTCTAAGCGTGAATCCAGAATCTGTTAAAGGRTGTGGATAGATGTAGGTATCTAAATATTTAAAAACAAGAAAAGACAGAGGTGTCTGTAACCTTCAAGTTAAAAATATACCTTTACAAATTTCCAAACCTGTAAAAATTTGCTTCCTTTTCACTGAGAGGCAGTATATAAAATATACAATTAAGATTTTATATCAACACACCTATCCAGAAAAAAATCAGGGAGTAAAGAGTTTGGTTCGCAACATATTATACCTTCAGGTGACATCTCTGGAACAGTGGCCACATAAGGTCCATCCAAGAACTGAGGTTTATTGTCATTTATATCTCGAACCTTGATGATAAATTCTGATCCAGGYTCAACAGGAAGCTGAGTGCTCCTGTTAATTGCTTGTGCTCCCAGAATGTAGAAAGGTTTCTTTTCTCGATCCAGCTTTTGTGTTACATAAATTTTGCCGTTATATTCATCGATGACAAAAATGCTTCCAGCTCCCTCGCCAGTCAAAATGTATTTTAAGCTGCCATCCTGCTTGTCTAAATCCGTTTTCAGCTGAAAGTATGAAAGAGAAAACTAAGTCACACTATGGGAGGRATAAGTTTTGAAACATTCATTTTACGCTTTGTTTTGATTCCACAGTGAACTTTATCACTAATGAGCACTCTTGGATACTAACATTTGAAAGAAGGTACTGTCACATTTTCAGCCAACTATTTTTAATTTTAAAATATTTTAAGCTATTTAATTTTAWAGTACTGATATAACGCTCATAAATGCATGATAATCCTGAAATGAAATGCTTCAGCTACTTTGAAGGAAATGCTTCTAAGTATTTACTTAAGTTCATTGCTTTATTAGCTCCCCTACAATTCTGTTAAAAACAATACAAAGTTCATTAAATATGATCTAAATTTTTTTATTATTGCAGATTACATGCATACTTTGTAAATTTTTGGTTTTGTTTTTTTTTTTTTTTGCTCAACAACRCTAAGTGCAAATGTGCAACAGTGATATTCTGTTTCTGTTGAAATATAAAAGAAGTGGAAAGACATTCTGTGCTGTAAGTCTGTATTATTTATTCTGAAATAAATTGATAGACATTTTCCATTTCCTTCCAGGATAATCTACATCCTYTGTTGTATTGCTCAGATGAACTTTATGGTGATGATTCCTTTGATGAAGCTGAGCCTTGGAGACAATTTTGGTCCAGCAGCATTTGTTCATGACAACAAAATGGTTCTGTTAATGTTAGCGATATATAATAGAGCAATATTTTAAGAGCAATAACTGAATTTCCTAACATGTCAGGCATTCACAGTCAAATTTTATGGGAACTGCAATTTCAATCATATTGCTAATTCTCTATTTTGTCTCCACTTATTTTRGTTGTAGAACAAAAATATCAAACTCTCTAAGAGACTGGATAATAATTGAAAAATCCTAAGTTAAAAAAAAAATCAACTTGCTTCTCCTATGAAGCAATGTGGTTAAAATGCAAATAATATGCCTAACTGTTGAATTCAATTATCTCAATGTTTTGTTTATGGTTAATGACCCTAAATGTCACTATTGATTATGAGGCCACRGAACAGGAAAGAAATAACTATGGAGTATAAAGGGTCCATTTTCCTATTGGATCATTTCAAATATTTTGTAACAACTTCTAAAGCTGCAGAAATAGTTTTAAGAATAATGCYTATGCCTTTTACAATTTCCATAATGCATAATTGTCTGCATGCAACAGACAAATACTTTATTCAGAATGTGACCGGGACACTGCTCTTCAGATTTGAGGAATGGCTTTGAGTTCCTGCTCTGAGTTCTGTAAAGATATTTAAGGCTTAAAATATTCAGAGTTAATTATCCTTCCCAGTACAAAAGACAGAATTTCCAAATCTAAGGAAGTTTAGAACCATTCAAAATATGAACAAATTAAATATTTTCAATGTAAGTAGTTGTGTGCCAAACACGGGGCATATTACTCCCTTTATAAGTGGTTTGGTCAAACTCATTTTGACACCATCCAAATCTGGCATCCAGCTATGGGGTAACACAGATTATTTGTTATCCATAAATCTTGATTTCTTTATCATGAAACCCAGGACATGGGAGAGGTGATCTATATCATCTTTAAACTAACACAGGGCTCAGATGTGAACACCGAGTGCACCAAACCCTGTGAGCATTCCTTGGACTGGCTGCTCAGACATAACCTGTGCTTAACAATTTCACTCAGAATCATTTATCCTCAAAACACTTCATGACCTTGAACATGTTAAGTGAGGGGTCTCTTACAGATGACATTTGCTGAGAAAGGTTCTCAGTTTACTTGTTTTTTTTTAGGCCGGGCACAAAATAAATGGCCTTACCATTGTAAATGACAACTGAGAACAAGAATTTTTGTACTCGACCTAGTGTATCTGCCATTGCAGTGCTGATGGACACATTTATTAATCTTGATAATGAAAAAAGAGTCATGAGTCTATGTTAAATGAAATTTGAAGATTTAGTTCTGACTGTAAAAAGATTTTGATATGGAATAGTGATTTAAAAACAGAGACTGTCTACCTTTGTATTTTCGTTGATGCAGTTTTCTTCAGGGCCTTAATTACTAAAAATTCATGTGTTGATCATAGACTACCACTTCATTTGCTGAAAGCAGCGCATATTCTACTCAATAAAAAGACACAAGTAAATATGTCTGATTAGACAATGGTTACACTGCAATATATTAACAATAATCTTCAATAAAATTCCCAGTAAACCTGTGAGAAATAAAAAGGTGAGATCATGAAAATACATGACATTTGTGAAGTTTCTTTGCAGGAAACTTTTCAAGGTATTGGAAAAGTAATAGGAATTATAAAAAAAAATAGAACTTTGTCTTGACTTGTTCTTTCAGAAGTGAGATATCACACTTCCATAGTAGTTACTTCGAAAGGGGTGTGAAAAAGTAATTAATGAATTTTGAGCACTTCACCCTTTGGGCCCAATTAAATTTTAGTGCTAGTTAATTAGCAGTTAAACTTATTTTGGTTCATTCATCTAAAAAAGGCCTTAAAGAAMAGAAAACTAGATCTCAGGATTAAAATTACTTCTAACATACAAAAATAAATAATAATAATAATAAATATAATAATAATGATAACCAGAGAGAGAAGGGGGCAGATAAACCCTCATTAAGACAATTATCTTGAAGCACATTTTAAAAAGAGGGTGAAAAATAATTGCTCGTTGTGCTAAACCTACGTTAATCTAATGAACCATGCAGATTCCTGTAGTTTCTCAGCAGTAAAAGGATTTAGTATTAATCAGCTTCATTAAAAATTAATGAGGGGTAAATCAGCTGCTACTTAGTGTAATAGAAAATCATGCTAAATACTGTTTGTAAACTACACTACACTCAGTATGKCTGCCTTGATGCAGTGCCAAAAATAGCACGAGCAAATTGCCAGATGTTGATAAATGAATACGCAACTTTCATTCAGAGGAAAGAAAGGAACTTTTCAGCTTTMTRCCTTCACCTGCTGCGTGTGGAACTAGTTTTAGTAACAGCAGGCATGTGAAGTTTCCTTGACAGCAGTCCTCAGTTGAAAGAAAGTCCTTGGTACCGCCATGACTTGTAGCTCGTGGACTGCTGTGACCTTGAGAAAGGTCACAGGAAAGCAGAGATGCAGTACTACCTAATTGCAGCTTCCTGATCTCCTCTTTCTACATTTGTTGCTATTTCCACATCAGTGCAGATATTTGGCCCTCCAAGTCAGGATAGAAGCTGCTAATCAGCRTCTTAAATCTAACCTTGTGCTGTCCTTGAATCATCACTTATCATACCTGTCCAACATATGCAATATCCAGTGATATCTGTTCCTCAGTTACGAAAAGGGGCTCCCACAGCCAGGCACGTTTCACTCTTCGAGCTGCTGTGAAAGACTGAACTGTGTTTTGAATGCTGGAATTCAGTGTTCTGGGAGAGCAGGGCCAAAGTTGAACCAGCATCGCCACGAGATGCAGCCATGCAGAGAAATTCATGCTGAACCCTTCTTTCAATCAATCTTAATCTGTGAAAGAGGAAGAAAAAAAGAAAGAAAATTTTGACAAAGCATCACTTTTGTCTTTCTACTTTTATATATTGATTCCGTGTTAATGTAAGAGCTGATTTTCAGTGTTAAAAACCTCATGTCTCCAAAAGTAAAAAACTGAAACAAAGTCTGTTTCTGATTAAAAAGACATGCTTTGAGAATCTCTAACATGAAAGTCAAGTGCTTAACTTTTCTTTATGARTATCCTACACAAGGACTTTTTATGAAAAAAAAAAAAAAGGGAAAATAATACTTCAATTAATTCATCTTTCAAATTAAGCTGGGTAATTGTATTGTGTAGCCTAGGAATAATTTGATTGGAATAATTGTATGTTTCTGCTTAGACAGGGCTCATTTTGAGCTGCAGTCACAGAACTGCCTGAAGGGTGAACATCTAGCCTTGATAGCCCTGATGTCTGGCAGCTGAAATGGATTGGTGCACATATTTTTTTAACCTCTTCTTACCCACTTCCCTAGCTCAGCAAAATGCCTGATAGGGTACCATGAAGATGAAACAAAAATCTACAACTYGCTGTTTTCCTGGCCAAACAGCAACTTGGACAAGGCAGAGRTGTTTAACMCATTCTTTGTCTCTGCCTTCAACACAAGTGATGGACCAAGGGGTTCCCAGTGCCCTGAGCTGGAGGAGGACCATGACTGCTCAGGGTAATGAATCATGATCATGAATGATCAGCTCYCWGTTGATCCTGAAATTGTGCAGGATCTGTGGCTCCAGCTGGATCTCCATATATCTATAGGGTCTGATGGGATTCATCTGAGAATCCTCAAGGAGCTGCTGATGTCATTGCAAAGTCTCTCTCAAAGATTTTTGAGAGTCTTGGGAATCCAGAGAGGTCCCAGCTGACTGAAGCTGGAGAATGTTGTTCCACTGTTCAAGAAGGGCAAGAACGAGAACCCTAGGGACTATAGCTTGTCAGTCTCACTTCGGTGTCTCGTAAAGTTTATGGAGAATGTTATTCTGTGAGATATTGAAAAACACCTGGAGGACAGGACAGTAATTGGTCACAAACAGGACAGCTTCATGAGAGGAAAGTGCTSCTTGTCAAATCTGATTTCCTTTTATGACATGGTATCTCACCTAGCTGATCAATGAGAGCCAGTTGATGCAATCTTTTAGGTTTTCAGCAAAACTTTCAGTACTTTCTTTTACAGGATCCATCTGGACAAAATTTTCAGCACACAGCTRGATAAACACATCATGTGTTGGGTGAGCAACTCATTCATTGATTGGGCACAAATTATTRCAGTGAACTAAGTGAYATCAGACYGGTGACCTGTCACTACYGGGATTCCACAGGGCTCCATCCTCTGCCCTGTACTCTTCAACATCTGCATAAATGACTTGCATGCAATGCAAGAAAATTAAACAAGTATGCAAATGTTACAAAACTGGCAGGAGCTGTTGACTCCCTTGAAGGCAGGAAGGCCCTCAGAGAAAGGCAGAGAAACCTCACAAAATTAGAGGGACAATCACCAACCATATAAAGTTCAACAAGGGAAAATGACAGATTCTGCACCTGGGATGGGTCAACAGAAAGGGACCTGGAGGTCAATGCCAAGTTGAATGTGAGTCAGCAGTGCCCTGACAGCCAGAAGGGCCATCTCTGTTCTGGAGAGCATCAGGCACAGCATCACCAGCCAGGCAAGGGAGGGGATTGTGCCTCTCTGCTCTGATCTGGGGCAGCCTCACCATGAATGCTGGGAGCAGTTTTGGGTGCCATAAGGTAAGATAGGCATTAAACTATTAGAGAGCATCCAAAGGAGGGTCATGAGGATGGTTGAATGCTAGAGGAGGAAGTCATATGAGGAGTGGCTGAGGTCACTTGGTTTGTGCAGCCAGGAGGAGACTCAGAGGAGACCTCACTGAAGCCTCACGATGGGAAGAGGAGGGGCAGGCACTGATCTCCTCTCTGTGACAGGAGCCCAGGGAATGACTTCATGTTGTGTAAAGGGAAGCTTAGTCTGGATATCAATAAAAGGTTTTGCATCCACAGGGGAATTGGGCACTGAACAGGCTCCTCAGGGAAGTGGTCAGAGCACAAAGCCTGACAGAGTTCAAGAAGCATTTGGACAATTCTCTTGGATACATGGTGTTACCCTTGGGGATGGTGCTGTGCAGCACTAACATTTCTACTCAGTGATTTTTGTGGGTCCTTTCCAGGCCAGCATATTCTGTAATTCTGTGAACAGAAGTTGTCTTAACTGGTTTTTCCACCTTTAACATTATTTTCTGCAATTAAACTGACAAAGGGCAAATGCATCTTGAAAGTTGTAGGTTTCCCTAGCTGATTCCCACTATGTATGCTTTCAGAAAATAAAGGCTTTTTTCAAACTATAATCTGTTACTGACTTTTCAGTGATTTTTGGCACAACAAAGGAAATTTAATTTTAAATATAATACTATGTTCAATTAAGAATTGCTGTCTTCTATGAATGAAAAAGGAAAATTTTGAAAATGCCATACACATTTCGAGTCTTAAAACCCTATTTGGCAATGACATTAGCCATTCTTTTCAAGGCTCTAGCATTGAAGAATAACAATTCCTATGCAGGAGCAGTCTGGTTTATGAATTTGTGACATGCTAGTCAGTTTGTTAAACACACTGGGAAAAAATATTTGTATGAATTTACCTTAGGCCGAAAAAATCCGTAAGTCTTTTAGCCATCCAGGATAAAATATTTTCAATCCATTATTTAAGTATCATTCTTAAGTTATTTAAGCATTAATGTTATAAATACCCATCCCTATCCAAAGAGAAATGCCACAATTGCTTAAAAAGACAGACAGATAATACAGAAAATTATTTATTTCCTTCCAGCAACTTTATAAGATGTTGGACAGCATTTGTTAAAATGTAATCTACAGAGAGGGAAAGAGAGAAAGAGAGAGAGAGAGAGAGAGAGAGAGAGAGAGAAAGATAGAAGGGGGTTCTAATAGTAAAGTCAAATAGAACCATAGAGGTTCAAGTGTACATTCCAATTTCTTCACATTTTTTGGTTTTTGACTGTAAAATTGTTACTGTTCAAGATGAGTTTTGAATAGAAGGAAAGTGACTTGGGTACACTCTTTTTTCAGTTTCCTGTAGAAAACTGCTTATTTTCCTATAGCTGCAAGAATAATATTTGTGCCATGGAAGAAAAGGCCAACAAAGCTCAACTTGGCTCTGAAATAAGGCTTGAGTGGAGTTTAAACAGCCTAAAGACCTTGGAGAGTCTCTATGCAACRGGCGTACTTAATGCTAAGCAGTAATCTGCACAGAAAATAACCTTGAAAAGGAACATTCATTTTATTGCAGTGCATACCAAAAGACAGACAATTCAAACAGCAAAAGCTGAACAGCTAAAGAGATCTTTCTGAGGAGCCACAGAAAAATGAATTTCAGTCACTGTTTATATGTGGAGACAGGTGTTCAGTCTGGGCCACAGCAAATACATCTTTTGCTGGTTTTGATGCTTGTTCTGGCATTGTTCACCTTATTTAACAAAAATATCTCAGGCTTATGGGGCAATAWTTCATGGAGAGTGAATGTCAAACAAACAGTCATCAAACTCATCTGATGACAATTTATACAGACAACAACACCATGAGGGTGCAGAACATGGCTGTGTTGGTCTGCTGCTGGCCACCTTCTTTCAATGTGCTCAGAGGTTACATATGAACAGCATAAAGCAAGTGATCAATATTTAGGAGCATGCTGGTGTCTCATTTTTTCCTAATTTATGTTAATCCCCTGTGTTACATGGAGTCAAGCATCACGTCTCAGACAAACTGGGGGTAACTAAATATTTTTAGATTCTGATAAGTTGCACACACTGTTAGTGTATAAAGACTTTACTTTGAAAATACAGATAGTAGGCAAATTCCTTAAAAAATATATAAAGCTATTTAATGGAATTGAGGTCTCTATGTATTTCTGTTTTTCCTCTGTTTCCTGATCAAACATTCTCAATTTGCCTTTACTTTCAGGACCTCTCAAAGCCTATTTGCTTCCAACATCTTCCCACTCATTTGGCATTGAGACACTGCCTCCAGCCTCTGGCCAGCACATGTTGCCACTTTTTATAAATCTAATTGTTCCCTTGTGAAACAATCACCTTCTTTCTCTTCCGCTGACTRTAACTCAGTCTCAGAAGTTATTCTCATAAAATATCCAGCAAGTAATTTCTTATTCCCTCATCATTTTCTAGTCTTTTCTTTAAAAATCTAAATTTCAGTAATACCTACTTAAAGGGGAAAGAGAAAAGAGCTCACGGTGTTTTAAGGTGATTCCGTGCTGAGACTGCTGCCTATCACTGTTCCAGCATTGCCTCATTATTCTCTTGTACTTTCCTGTCTTTCCCTATCCATCAGCTGTCTCTTGTTTTACACTCATTTGCTATGGTCCTTGTAAATGAAATGACCTTGTATTCTGTSTTATAATTATAGCATGCAGCAGAAGGGAGGATTAGTAAAAGCACTGAGCTTTTGGATGCTGTAGTAATATGCACAAATAGATAATTTTTAATAGGCTAGTTTCTCATTTAAAAAAAAAAAAAAAGATAAATATATTTTCAGAGATGAGCAAATGATCTATCATTAAAAATTTCCCAGGGAGAAGAAAGAAATGGGAACCATTGTTGTGCTCCTCTCCTTCAGGAAGTATGTCTCCACTTATTCTCACATGCAGTGGGTAGCAAAAATAAAGACTGATACTCAGAACAAAGTAATGAGAATGACAATTGCAGTTGTAATACGTGGGCTACAGCTTTTAAAGCTTTTAGAACAACATCTTCCTTTCATACTCAATGAAAAAAATGTAGATGAGGAACAGATTTGCCTTCTTGGAACAAAGTTGATGAGTCCKTTGTTAGGTTTGTTCTGGAATCTTCACCAAGTGAAGATTCAAATGGAGAATCCTGTCTCCATTTGAAACTGGATATTGTTTTAGGTGTGCTGGTAGTCTGACTTGGTTCTGAGT